GTAGCAATTATGCCGATTCCAGAATAAATCATAAACTTTTCTGGCCATACTCAAGATGACAGTTTTCTGTTGGATTGTTTCCATTCACCTCCAACTTTGGCTTTGGTTATGTGCTGTTCTGGAGACCCTTTTCCTATCAGTATCTGTGACCTGACCCTCTTGAGCTATATTATATCATTCCATTTTGACACCTTTTATCAAACTTTAATGAAATGACCCAGGCAAACAAATTGTCATTAAACTTTCCATCACTTTGTCCCTTGGTATCGTCTTTTATAAATTGGACAGCAAATGTTGTATTGATCTTCTCGTTCTTGCCGCTGAACTTGAAATGACCCAGACTGCTTGTTGTTTATGGCCTAGAGTTGCTTTTCCTTGACATTTCCATCCACAGCATGACATCTCTTTTGTTTTTCTTTCTTTCTTGTGGAGATGAATGAACAAGACATACGGTATCGAGACATCCTCGGTCATGGCAATGGAGGCACAGTCTACAAGTGAGTGTTGAATTTCACTTAAAATTTTTGAAAATAAAAGTTAACAGTGCTTTTTTTTTTTTTTTTCCCTTCATATTTGTAGTGAGATGTAGGTGGGCCATTGCTGCTATGCAGAAAAGATTATAAACGAAATTCTTAATAGAAACTTTTTAAGAATTCCCTTTGCATATTTACAAGGTATCTGCTCTTGGGTGCTGTGAGGGCTGGTGCATTTTTATTATCTTTTTAATACTTAGCTTTGAATCCCTCCTGGGTAACAAGTTAATGGTTCACAAGTGGAACTTGAAACATCCTGAAGCATAATGAATTGCCTTCAATATTTGCAATGCCATTATTCTTGCTGGCTCACCGCGCCCTTTGCTAGCCCCGTGCCGAGAGTGACACTGGTGGGATGTGATGACACCATAGCTCTGCCTTTCTCTGGCGATTCAAAATTAGTAAATACCCCTTTCACTGCTGCAGTGACTTCCCTCCCTTACGAGCAGCTTCACGCACAGGCTGATGAATATATTAAATGATAAACTCCCCCAAATTTTGGTGCTGAAGCTTATACCCTGCAGCCAGTATTAATTTTAATATTGTAAAGATTATAATAGCAGAGATATAGTTTTCTCGACAGGAAAGTCTTTCTCATGCATAGTGCAAAGTTTAAACTACATAATGTAATATCTGGTACTTAATAGTCTGCAGTGGTGTATGAAAAATATTCCACTAGGAATTAAGAAAGCCATACTTTGTAAGAAAGCCCTAGGGGAGTAATAAAGGTTTCCTCCAGAGAGCTATTTACCATATACAGTAACCCAGCATCCCATTATGATTTTGTTTATACCTTAGACATTTTAACTTTGATATTAACATTTTTTTTTTAAATGTTTTAAAAGCTACGGTGCATTTAGTTTAGTTTCTAATTGGCTGCCAACATTGCAAAACGACTCTCCTTGCAGAAGGTTTAATGAAAATGGACTTCCAAAACCTTAAAGGAACAAATCCACTCTTTGAATGGACTCTTCGGAAATCAGGTTAGCCTCGTAGGTGGAACGTAGTTCAGACATCTCATTGGCGTTCTCTTGTAGAGACATATTCCTAGACCAAGAAAGTCACAGAAACAGTGGTGTTTTCTTTAGAATAAGGAAGATTTAAGAGAGAGTGTTGAGCTTTGCAGCTCGGCCAGTGACTTCTTGGTGGTTTCCAATTTGGAGAAGGTTGCTTCCCTCCCCGCGTGCCGATGGAGGCTGCAGATGTCGGTGGGAGAAGCATCGCACAGGAGGGCCACGTGCTTGGGGTACAGTTAGGGACAAGGAGCATCCCACAAAGTGAGGGAATCCACGTGTGTCATTGTTACCCAGCTCAGGGTCATTTTCTTTAGCAAAGTGGCTGGAATAAGGAGCTAGCAATGCGAAGTCGCGAGCGGCGTAAGAATGGCCGTACCGGGTGGTACCAGAAGTCTCTCCCCTTCGCCCTGTGTCTGATAGTGGCCAGGGAAGTCTAAGGAATATAAACCAAGGCAGGTGAACATGTGCTTCGCTAATCTTTTCGCACTGAGGATCTGCTGAACTCGATGTCTGTTCACCAGTTTGCGCCTGCCCTACTCACAAGGAGTAACCCGCATTTGCTGCATGGGCTTAGCACGCACAGTGCTTTTAGGTGCAGAAGGTGGTATAAAAATCTCCAGTTCTTTTATAATGTTGCTACATGCGTTGTATGTATTTCACATTTCATGAAAATTGTACGGGAAATTTGGAGAAAATGCTACGTAAAGCCAAAGTTGCACTTTTTGGCTTCCCTCTGTGTTTCTGAAAGGTGGTATAGTTACGTGCCTGCTTTTGGTTTAATATTTTTACAAAAAATGTTTTTCTCTGGTGATGAATACTACATTAGTAAGAGTCTGCAGGAGTGTTGAAGGCACAGAGATGTGAACGCTCAAGGCACGGAGGAGAATAGCACAGGAGGGAATGCGTAACACTTCTGGCGCTGCTCTGTTGGCTGGCTCGTTGTGTGGGCTGGTGGCCTGATCTCCGTGACGTGGTGGAGTGGTGCCTGCAGTTTGGGAAAGTAAAACATTTTACCTGTAGAAACATGACCCTTCTTCCGTATTGGGGAAATATTTCTACCTTTCTTTTTCCTTTTTATTGCGTTCATATTTTAAATTAGCAGTTGCAGTGATTTCCCAGTGTTTTCTCCAGTGCAGGTGTCATTCTGCGCTGCTCCAGGGATTGTGTACCACCTTTACGTGTGGATGTTTTACCCATTCCTGAAGTCTGACTTTCTTTGCAATGCAAATAATGGTAGGATATAAATGTGAAGTACTGTTTTCTCCCAAAACTGGCTCCTAAGGTCTATGTTCCTCTCGGCTCTTCCGGAATTTGTTTCTTGGTGCGTTGGATTGAGGAGTTGTACCAGTTCACTCTCTCATCCCTGAAGAGCTGCTCGTTGCCGTTGTTGCAGGGAGTTGGCATTTACCGTGCCATGGTGATGTGCTTTGGACAAAGCACAGGCAGACCTTCCTGCATTGGAGCAGCCACCCCTTGGTGAAGGGGAGCCCGTTCCCTCGCCCAAGGAGCATCTGTGCTGCACCAGCCAACAAGAAATTGCAAAATGGAATACTTACAGGTAGCCGGATTGCACTGGGCATAGATAGCAGTCCACATATATTTTATTCCAGTAAATCAATGAACGTTTGTCAAATAAAATTAATTGCAAACGTTTGGCTGTTTTCCTCTTCCAGCATTCCGTGCTGTCGGATTGTTTCAGAAGAGGCTGCGTGTAGTATTGATCTGACTCTAAAGAGCGAGCGTGTCTGTGTGGTATCTTTTTTCTATCTTTCTAGCTCTTTATACTAAGTCATATCCATTATGGCAATGATATATTATCAGCATTCAGCAAACAAGATAGCATGTCTCAGGTCGCTGAGCAAAAATTTTCAGCCTCTCTTTCCATGTGAATTAACTACTATTGAAATCGTTTATTGAGATTGAAGTATTGATCACTTCTCATGCTAACCTTGGCTTAAGGGGGAGAGGGGACGTGGTTTTGCTGTCTTTGGAAGACGCTATGTTTAGTTAGAAAATGTATTTCATTTATTTAGGTTCTTTACAGCTGCAACTGTTTTATTGCACGGAGAAGAGGTATCTTAGCTTTATTTTTATGACAGTATAATTATACTTTAGAAATACACTTGATTACTGTGTGTAGCAAAATTGTTCCAGTATATTGGCTTGGCCAATATTGCTATACAAACAACTTTTCAGTCAATTGAGTCTGGTAAAAAAATCAATACTTTATAGCAATATTTCTAGTGAGAACTTGCTGAATCTTAATGTTTTTCCTGTTCTAAAAAGAAGGGATTTTATAGTTGTTTGACTTCCTATTTTTCCTCTACTTTTCCATACACTATTTTCTTACTTAAGGCATGGTAACAATTACAGAGTTAGACATGGCAAAACCACTTAATTATCCTTGCTCTTTGACTGCTTGTATATTCAAAAATATGCAAGTATGTATGGACAATCCCAAACTGTATACGGAATATATAAACAGTCAGAAAGAAGAGTTCTTCTGCTGGTGCGTAGTGGGCAGCGTGTAGCCTGTCTGGAGTGAAGGTTGTTAAGAAAATGATGAAACCTGCTGTAACAAAGACCAAAAGCCCCTGAGTGTCCTGCTCTTCTGTTTGCCGGTTGTTGGTGGTAGTTTACCTCATTAACTGGGATTTCCACTTTCAGTGGAGTGTTAAGAGTCCAATTCTACGAATTTTTAGAAACTCTCAGGTGCCATGATTTGGTGGACACAGGAGGGCCCTAGGACTGTTACACTGGTAGATCTAGGACCTTCCAGCTGTGCAGCACACCTTCTAATTTGTTTATCAGCTATTATGTGGAAGCTGGTAGGATGGAGAATGCACAGTTTGAGCTGCTTCGCAGCAGAAGAAAACATCTGTACATCTCTTATATTTACTTAAATTGCTCTGTTGGAAAAAAAATCATTCGCTGGGAGGTCCAAAAGACATTGGTAGTACGTGCTTCTGCGCTGCGTCTTTTAGCTCTGTCACTGGCTGCAGAGCTCGGAGAGGCTGTTTTGAAAAGCTTCTTCCTTCCTGCTGCAGTGAAAGCAGGTTAATGTTTTGGTTTGTAATGAGATGTAGACACTCTGCCAGCCGGTCTCCGGAGTGGCTACATTAGATTATTTAAACCTAAAATCCTTAGTTGTATGTATTTTGAACCTGAGTATTATAAAATGGAGGTATTTATCTCTGGCAAATAATTACTTTGTGAAGTCTCTCTCACAGGGCATATTTAAAGTATCACTATTTCCTTCCTTTATTTACCAGCAAAAAGAATATTTTTCTCTTATTTCATGTTTTCTAGTTTTTGCTTTGCAGTTGTGGCTAATGAGAAGCGAGATGTTCAAGGAAATTGGTGTAGGGGATGGGGTAACCTTCTGTGTGCCTGAGATTTTTTTAAAAATGTGTGTTGTGTATGGTTTGTACATCTGTGGATTCAGAAGACTTGCAGCAGCAGCAGGCTATAACGCCCTGTACACCGAAATAAACATAAAGTCCCAATGATGCCGTAATTAATTGGTGAGGTTACCCAGTATCTGCGAGAGGGGGAAGAAGAGGGAGAGTCGGTTCTCATCTTAGCAAAATGCTGTTAAAGCAGACGGCTTCACTTTACATTGAGTAATTGGGAGAGAAGTGGCTGTTGATGATGTACCGCCCGGAAGAACTGTATCGCTAGGGAAAATACGGATAAATGCGGAAGCTTAATTTGTTTGAGCAATTTATTTGAGCAATTTTGCTGTTCGGTTGAGTTGTACGTTCCAGCATATGCCCGTTTCTTTATTCTCTCTCTCGACCAACCTTGGGGTGCCCCATTAGCACATTAAACGGAGCGCATGGCAAGACAGCTGGGAAGTTGATATCTCTTGCAAGACAGCCTGCAAACTGTGCCTTGCGAGCGCATTGCCGATCCGCTGGCCTCAGCAGGGAAAAGCGCCGCCGGTTC